CAGTTTATAGTCCCGGCAGATTATTGGTATTGGTAGAACATCTTTTTCCCGAGATTTCACCAAGGTAACATGTCCCCGGGGGGTGTTTATAACGAACGAAATATTTGTTCCACACCTACCTAAGGATATTCCAATAGAATTTTTTGGTTTTATTTAATGATTTAATATTTGTAAATATGTGTTCACTTTTACTTTTCACTGTTCTTATAAAATATTCTATATCCCAAAACAAAATCAGTAAAAAAGCATACATTTTATTTATTTGACGCTTCAAAGTTGAGTTTTTATTAAAAACAAAACAAATACACACAGTGAGACTTACGTACAAATATAAGTCCTTATTAAAGGATTTATTTAAATTGACCAAATATGCTGTTTGTTTGTCTGTCTGTCTGTATGTTATTTTTCTTTTTAATAAATTTCTGTTTTGATTACTTCTGCCATACGGACTGTAAATTTTTCCTTAACTCATAAAAATCAAATGAAAAACGAAACCAAAGTCAAAGGAAAGAAAGATGAGAAAAATATATTACAAACCCTAAACCATATTTTATTTATTCAAAAACTGAATTTGACTGACATGACTGGTAAATAAAAAAAAGGAACCCTGCCATGGTCAGACTGTAATAAACAAACAATCCGAAAATAAAAGAGGAAAAAAGTCAGAAAAAACAAGATTGCAGAAGATTTATTTTACAGCACTGAACAATTCACGGTAATAATTTATACTGCAATCTTTTGGGGACTGTGAATGTGACTGGGATTGTAACTGCGAGTGGTCGGTTGGTCGGCCGCTGTTGTTTTGGCTACAAACGTTTTCATTCATCATGCCACCATCACTGCTGCAGATGCTGATGTTGGTCACAGTGTCCTTTGTCTGTCTGCTAACAACTCATACACATGTATTTTTTAATCTTTTAAAAATACATAGAACTAAATAAATATTTTCCCCAGTTTTTTTTTATTCTTCGATTTTTTGCTACTTTTTTATCTGTGTGAAATAAAATCCTGTAATTGATATTATGATATTTTATTGAGTATGTATGTATGTGTCTTTTATATTTTTGATTCGCTTTTGTGTCATTGCAATATAAAAGTCACTTTGATGTTGTTAAATTACCAATAAGGTCTAGGGATTTTGTAAAACAAAAAAAAATAATAAAAAATAAAATTAAAGCAGGATATTGAGTTGTCATAAAAAGTTTGATTTTATTTATGTACTTAGTATATTTAGCATTTTTTTATTGAATTCATTTCTTCTTCTTATTTTTATGTCATGAGCTAATAGTCTTAAAAGTATTTGGTGGAATATTTACGAAACACATCATTAAATTGTCATTTGGTGTTAAAAGTGTAAGAAATTAACTTGGTGTTGTATATTGTTTTACAATTTTGTTTTTGCAGTTAATAAAGTATCAACTGCTTCTTAGTAATTTATGGTAGAATACAAAATTCTTTAAATTTGTAATTATTTGCAGATAACACCAGGCAACAGAATTTTGAAAATGTTGGTTCATAGGATTGCTATAAATAATAATAATTATAATAATAATAATAATAATAATAATTCTGCTTATTTTTAACATATTATATTCTGAGCAAGACTGCATTCTTTCTAATTTGATAAATGAATAGGACGAAGCCTATTGAAAATGATTAAAATCGGTCCCATACAACCGTACCCCTCGAAAAGCCCATTATTATACTACCGTCAAAATTTGATATAACGAATCTCAAGGAGATTACAAAATTCTTCGTTATAGATACTTATTCGTTATAAATAAGTTTCAGTGAAACCTTGACATAACGAAATTACAAGAAATACGAACAAAATTCGTTATAGCTATAGTTTTTTATCTAAATTCTATTTTATTGAAAAATATTAGTAACAAATAAGAAATTATAGTTAGGCGTGGCCGACCATATAATACCCTACACCAGTTATAAATATACACTGTGATTTGTTTTTATAATAAAAAGCATTCGAAGGGCTATATTCAATAGTTGCTATCTGTAATTTAATTCTGAAAACTCTCTATCTATTCCAAAAATTGCTTTAAAGTCTATCCCTCTGGATAATTTTCTGTCACAAAACTAGTTTTCTTAATAATTTGGACATACTGAACACAAATAATTAAAAAATATTTAACAAGTAAGGGTGTTATATTCGGCTATGCCGAATCTTATATACCCACCATCAAACCTCGTTTGACTCGAATGAAACTTACTTATGTCGAATTTCATCTATATACTCGTATTTTTAGGCCAGTTATAAGCGTTAAAGTAATTTTCTGAAGGGGACCTTATATAGGGGGTAGGGTCAATTATGGGTCGATCCTCATAAAATTTGGGAGACAGAATTTGGTTCATATTAAATTTATTTGTTTCAAATTTCATCGGTACACTCTTATTTTTACGCCATTAATGAGCGTTAAAGTCATTTTCTGAAGGGGACCTTATATGGGGGGTAGGGTCAATTATGGACCGATCCTCATAAAATTTTGCATAGTGATTTTGGATCATAAGAAACTTACTTATGTCGAATTTCATCGCTTTATTATTATTTTTAAACATGTTATGACTGTTAAAGCTGCTTTTCGAGGGGCCACTTGTACAGGGGCCATCCGAAAACGTGGACCAATACCAAACAAACCTTATCTATAAGAAATATTTATGTGAAATTTCAACCCTCTAGCTCTTTCCATTCAGACTCTATCATGCTTTCAACAGACAGACAGACGGACGGACAAACATGGCTAGATCGTCTTAGAATTTAATGAGGACCCAGAATATATATACTTTTGTGGGTCTATGACCAATATTTCGATGTGTTACAAACGGAATGACCAATATACCCCCCATCTTTTTTGATGGTGGGTATAAAAACGGTATAATAATTTTCGAGATATTGCTCATTATGAACCTAACTAGTTTAATTTTACTGACGTGTTTAAGCATATAACGTTGATTTTGGACCAAAACATTATAATCTGGTGCTTTTTCAACAATTTGGTTTCTTTTACTCCATTAAATTGCATCAAATATAATACTGATTAATACTAAATCAAATAAAAATTTTATATTTCTATGAAAAACTCTCTATATGTTGGTTCTATGAAAATTTTCGTAGAAAAAAAGCTCTTTCTGATATAAATTTGTGAAAATAATGCAAAATTTTAAATTCTTTTTATATAAAGGTTTTAGATATGGTCGTAGAAATATATTGTAGAAGAAAAATTTTAAAAATCTTCCCGAACTAGCGAAAAAAACACATAAATAGAGTCTATTGAATATACATAGTCCCTCGATTTATTTTATTTTCTGAGAGCCTTTTTTAGATAAAGGCTTTGTATGCGAGTGAGTGGCCTTTTTTAACCATTTTCAATAGACTTCGTCAGATGGACGGACATATCATAATTGACTCAAAAATTATTCTAAGCTGACTGATATACTTTGAAGTGAGTGCGTTACAAACGTCAGCACTGATTCTCCCTACTATAGTGGCGTAGGGTGTAAAATTATAAATTAAATAAAAAGCAAATAAGAAATTATAGTCGGTCGAAGCCGACCATATAATACCCTACACCTGTTACAAAATAAAATGTGATTTAGTTTTCAAATAAAGAATTTAAGTTGATTTGTACCTTGTTTCAGATATACTTAAGCCATTTATTGTTAAATAAAATTGTGGACATTTAAGTCAAATTTTGAAGGGGGCTTTGTATAGGGGCTATGGTCAAATGAGACTTTATAACTATAAAATTCATTGGGGTCATCAAGGCTAGTATTGAACTTGGTTTTGCAGCTTTTTGTCGCGATACGAGTATATTACACATAATTATGAATTTAAGAGCCCTATTCGGCGGGTTTAGTTGTATGGGGGCTAAGTGAAATAGTGGACCGATGTTAACCATTTTCAATAGGCTTCGTCTCTGGTACCATAGAAGATCATGTGCCAAATTTTATTGAATTATCTTCAAAATTACGACCTGTAGTTTGATTACAGGGTTTACAAGCGCTATTCGGGGGTTCAGTTGTATGGGGGTAGGTGAAAAAATGGACCGATGTTAACCATTTTCAATAAGGTTTCTCTCCGATACCATAGAAGATCATGTGCCATATTTCATTGAATTATCTTCAAAATTGCGACCTGTAGTTTGATTACAAGGTTTACAAGCCCTATTCAGGGATTGAGTTGTATGGGGGTAGGTGAATTAATGGACCGATCTTAACCCTTATCAATAGGTTTCGTCCCTGGGACAGTAGATCATGTGCCAAATTTCATTGAATTATCTTCAAAATTGCGACCTGTAGTTTGATTACAAGGTTTACATGGACGGACATAGCTAAATCGACTCGGAAAATGATTCTAAGCCGGTTGGTATACTTTAAGGTGGGTATAGGACCAATATTATTGTGCGTTACAAACATCAGCACAAACACAATATACCCTCCCCACTGAAGTGGTGTAGGGTATAAAAAAACTTTAAAATAAGTATAAATCTTTACATATGAACACGATTGACTTTGCTTTATATTTGATTTTTGTTTATTCTGACTTCGTTATATAGAAGATCTATTACTGATATACTGATACCCTACAGTCCACAGTTTCATGTGCGAAACTTGATAATGACATTAAATTTTAACCACTTACTTATTAACATACTTTTTCCGATTTCAAAGAAGTAGTTAAATAACATCTTATTAATAATGTGTTATTAGTATAAATACTTTCTAATTTATTAGTCATCTTCTCCGTGAAGCTATGGAAGCTGTATACGTTTTTCATGCAATTTCCACTGACTAATTTTTCTAATTATTTGTATGCGATTGCGGTAATACTTAGCCTAATATAACATTCTTACTTTTTCGGTTTAATTCCGACTACAAATTGAAATTACAACTGACCAAATGTTTATTTAATTTTAAATGAGAATTAAACAAAATTTCAATAAATACAACAACATTAATTTTACCTTAACTTTCTTTAATTACAGGTTCGTTTGTACTTCTCACAAATACCGGATGATAAAGTGCCATATGTCAATAGTCCTGGAGAGCAATATCGTGTGAGGCAATTACTACACCAGCTACCACCCCATGATAACGAGGTAATTGAAATGCTTTTATGTCTAATCTATATATAAAACCACAAAATTAAAAAATTTATTATTTTCAAAACTAAAGACTACTTACTCAATTTGCTTATTTCAAACATAAGCAAATGCATATACCCATTAAATCTAAACGAAATTACTTGTTATTTAAGCCAATAATTAGAATACAAAAATATTGTTGTAGCATTAAATTAAGCCCATAATCCTAGTCTATCTTCTGACTAGTAAATTGCATACAACATGGATAAAAACTTTTAAATATATTTCCCATTGCAAGTAAAACACCCACAATATTGGTTTTCGTTTTCAATCCAACAGTAGCTGCTAACCAATAGCCAAATTATAATGCAAAATAATTTGATTTCATTTTATTGTTGTTATTTTTGTTAAACCTTTAAGACCAAGTTGATGGTTTTTCAAGTTCTAGTAACTATGCAGTTCCTGTATGTTGTTTTAAGTGTGTTTTAAACTTGACCAAACTATGTACTTACTTTACTTACATTTTTAACTAATGAATTTTTTCCCACAACTAACAAGCATTTTATTTATACGAGGTATATGAGTCCTCATTCGTATATACGCATATCGAAAAACCTCAAACGAGTTAACTTTCAAAACAAACCCAACAATAACAAAATTATACTAAAAAGTAAAACAACAACTCACCCAAAAAAACTGAATTCAAAATTTCCCATATCAGAGATAACTTCATTGATTGGAATTGCCATGATGTTGTTAACAAGAAAAACCAGAACACAGGACACAACAAAATAAAATGAAACTTTTGGAACAAAAAAACTTACATGCATACATACATTGACAGTGTTGATACTCATATGTGCTCATATAGTTAAGAACAGCATCAGATCAAATAGTATAGACAAACATACGTACATCTAGGGCAGGCTTAAAAGTCCTTTGGGATCTATTGATAGAAACATATAATTTTGATATTGAACAGTTCTAAAAATACAAAACCGCACTATTTTTATTCCCACCATCACGCATGTTTCCTTGATGAAAGACCCTCATCTTGGTGTATTGCAATTCTGTGGTAAAGAGGTGCTACCAGTGTCTCTAGTCTGCCGGGACTATAAACTGGTGATGACATTTTTACTCCTCGGCTAGTCCTTGGATGATTTGACATTAGGTCTAACCAGAACATCACATTATCTGGTACTACGGGTCGCCAGTTGCCCGCAGGACTTGTCCTGCCTGGTCAGTTTGTTGAAGTTCCTTCGGAATCTACGTAGTGGCTGTGGTTTAGACCCAAATTCGCGGAAAAGGTTTGGTTAAAAGATTGATTCATGGTGAAATATAAATTCTCGGGATAAGTTTCTGTTACCGCTCCTAGTTTCTCCTAGTTGTGTAGCTGTAAAACGAATTACGTCTCCTAGGTGCTGTGGCCGAATCAATCACACTACTGTGGTTGCGCAACTTTAAGAGGTCCAGGAATGCACTGGGGTGAGTCTTTAGATGATGAGAATGTTTGTGGGGACAAAGGCATTTCTCATAGCATCAATAGGGTGTTTTCACCTGATGTAGGTTCCGCCCCTTCTATCGACCAGTGATTTCTTTTTCCTTTGTCGGGGTTAGATTGAGCTTGACTCATGACACCTGTCATTTCCCAACGAGATTACGATGGCAAGAGTTTAGATAGCTCGAGTACTTGAGCAAAGGCACGTATACTGCGTGTCGGTGGTGAGTCGTATTTCATTCAGATCTTATGGGTATACATAAGGTGGATGTAGAGTCGATTTTAGATGTTACGAACATCAACACAATCTCATTATAACATCCCTACTTAAATTTTATAAATCCTGATTAAACTTCCTTCATACAACCAAAAATACACCCAATACAAGTGAAAGACAATAACAATAAAAACAAAAATAATGTAGTGATTTTAAGTCCGGAAATGGATACATGAGTACAAAACATACTACTACATACACACATTTATGGGGAATAAAAGTAAATTGTCAACTACTACAAAAAATACAAAAATCTTAATAAAATAAAGAAATTTTCAACAGGAGAAAAAAAGAAATAACTGCCAAAACTATAGCAACTTAACAGGAAAAACATTTAAACAAATTTACATGAATACATACATATGTATGTATGTGTGTTTGCTTGTTTGTTTAGCCAACGGTGCTGCCAAACAAATCACAGGCTTTACTCTGGCTAAAATCTAAACACCCCACGTATATGCGGGGGAATATTCACCAACAGTTTCTCTCATCTAAAGACGGCCTCAGACGTTGGTTATTGCTGCTGCTCAAGTATAATATTTTTGTCTATACTTTAGAAAATTTGCATAGAACTCGAATGTATTCGAAAATATAGAATATGTGAACGAACATTAGACATGGTAGATTGTGAAAAAAAAATAAACAAAACTGATGATCTGGTCTTGGCCAAATGGTAAAACAGCTACCGTTTTGTACTGGCCAAAACATTCAATCCTCAACAATCTAAAACTAACACACTTGGTAATTGTAATGTTAATGAACCCAATAGGAAATTAACGATTAAATGTTATTATCGTTAAAAATTTATTTTAAAAGAAGACTATCGTCTTCTCAGAATATCGTTTGAAGGCTCAGGATTATGTTGGTTATTCTAACATATTCAGTTCAAATTACCGAGAAATTGTATTGAAAAGTATTATAGAAATCACAATATCGATTTTGGAGCTGACTAAATACTCATGCGCAAAACTTTCCTCAATCAAGTATCAACAAGGCAAGAATAGGATATTAAACTGTTTTTCGGAACAGCGCGGTTACAGACTTCACTGATCGCGTGTTATGGCAACTAGTTATGGAAATCCAGTGAGTTGGTCTTTATTAGTTTGCCTAATGCTTGCACAATATTTCAGTCTGAAATTATCGCAATCGTTGAGAACATGTAAAGAATCCGATAATAAATCTCGAGACGTCTGACGTAAGATTTGTTAGGTGCTGCATAACTGGAAACATGGTAGATCGCACAGTGGGGCAGAATGGAAATTTTTTGGAAATAAATCTGGCATTTCTAAACGGCTGATCCGATCGGGATAAAATTTGGAGTGAGCGTAGCCAAGGAGTATTTGAGATGCCCCAGGGACGGCGCTGTGGCGGCTCAAAGTAGGGTACCTACGACATGTAAAATTTTTAAACTCGTGCCATTTTTTTGTTTTTCACCCAAATACAAAGATTTTTATATTTTGTGAAAGCGCTCGACGAGATCTTGAAAAAACATGCTTGGACATACTACTTATCTCTCATAATATCCGAGTTATAGGCATTTAAAAATTTAGTGATACAAAATTTACCATACCTTGGTCCGCCTTTTTTTGAATACCGGGCGTAATTTTGGACCAAATGGACTCAATTTTTTCTTGTTAGTTAGACAACAAAATTTCCAATAATATACAAAAAATTTCAGATCAATATCGTTTACAGATCCAAAAATATACGTTTTTTAATTTAAAAATTCAAAAAATTTTAGATTTTTGGCGTTTTTTTGCCAAAAATGTGTCTTAACTCTTTTATTAATAAAATAAAATTTTTATTAAGAACATATAACAATTTTATAGTTTTCTAAAAGGTACCTTTACGCAGAACGCTTTGGCGTAAAAAACTTGTCCTATTTTTTTAAAAATGTTGCCACTGCGTCCTTCCGAATATGACCTATTTTTTATCAAAACTTCAACTTTGGGCGACATGTTCTAAAATCCCAAAGCTGGGATCAGAAAACTGAAAGCAGTTTTGGAAACCTCAATATGTTTTCTATTTACTCCAAAAGTATTTTCCCAGCCCTGAAAGAAATGTGGACCCTATGGGCAAAAAAGTAAAAAATCCCATTTTTGGGATTTTCATTCCTATTTTTGGGAATTGCGGGATGCCCTTTGACCTTTTCAATTTTTTTTTTGCATATTCTTATTTGAAATGACAAATTTAACAAGCGTTGAAAATTTCATTGAGTTTTGTTCATAAATAAAGATTTTGTCATATATTACATATTTGTTTAATTTCTAAAACTATGATTTATATCAAAATTTTAATAGGATCGCAGATAGCTACAACAATTTAGTCCATATTTATCCCTTAATATCATTTTTTAGTTAGATATGGAAATTCTCGACCCTTTACAAATAATTTCAAGCCAATATCTCAATTACATTCAAAAATATGTTCATTTAAACCTGTGTCCTTTAATTTCATCTTTTTCATATTTTAGTATTAAGTATGACAGCACATATTTAAATCTTATATTTACCTATTTTCTATTTGTTTGCTTATCCTTATAATTGAAAGGTCCTATTATGCTTAAATTTTCAAAAATTTATAACTATTTTTTACCTAAATTTTTTCGACAGATCATTTCGTTCTGTTTCGTTTATGATCATGTAGGTAAAAATATACAGGTAATGATAATTTCGATTCATTCACTAATAAGAAATATCAATGACTGAATTACAGGTTATAGTAATATACATAGTCCTAAATGTTAATAGGTAGACAATTCGTAATTTTTTACTTTGGAATACCTGTATCGGAAATGACAAGAATTGGTATATAAGTAAACTTCTCAGATTTTAAGTACCATATTTAATAAATCTACAATGAAGATTACATTAAAGTACGAAGAGTTGTGTTCCGTTTTATGGAGTATATCTTCAAAAGGGCCAGAAAGAATTGAAGACATTTCAAATTATATAAAAACTACATATAGTAGAAAAGTAGACAAAACAGGCATATCAAAAATTGAAAACTTTTTGATGTAAAAAGTAAGTCTGTGGATGGAAATCAAAAGAAATTTCGATTAAAATTTTGTAGTTGGATGGAAACTACTACGGAAATCTCAACTTACAACACATCAATAGGAGCGCCTTGCAAGTCATACGAAGACTTATGTTCAAGGTAAAAAAAAGAGGGTCACACAAAAACTTTTTTCAATCTCAAATGAGGAAATTGCTGATACATTTAACGAAATGCTGAAAAAGGAAAACCAACATATGGATGTCGTACATGTTGCAACTATTCTTCCTAATGCATCACCAAAACGGCTTAAGCGAATTGTGGAAAGTATACCAACTCCAACATCATAATCAAATTTTACTGAAGAGGAAGCAATAGCGCTTATGTTGGAACTGGGTCTCAGTCGAAATAAGTACCAAATATTAAGGAAAGCTCTGCATGAAAAAGGACACAATATATTACCATCATACAAGGCGATCCAGGAAAAAAAACAAACTATCCTACTAAATCAACAAAAAATAATGAAGAATTGAAAGAACTGAGAGCTGCGGAAAAAAACAGAATCCAAGAAGAATTTAAAGTTCAGATGGGATTAAACATCGACAAACCACTTTCAAGTTGCGGTAGTACAAATGACGGTAATACGGCGAGAAGGTTTTTTCGTGATTTTGAAATTACTTCAAAAATAACTGGAATCGACAAGGAGTTGCTTCGAAGAGTTAAAACTATTTTAATGGCACTGAATAGTAAACATAAAATTAATGAAAATCGATTTGGGGAATACACATCTGAAATTTCTAAATTACTTGTATCTCTGTATCATGGAGGGAACTAACACCAACAGTACACAAAGTATTGTGTCATGGTCAAATAATAATTGAATCGAATATTCTTCCACTTGGAGAGTTAACAGAAGAAGCCCAGGAAGCGAGGAATCGAGATTTTAAGCATGTTCAACTATTCAGCTCAAGAAAATGCTCCAGGCAATCACAGAATGAAGATATTTTTAATATTTTACTTCTATCTTCTGATCCTGTTCTTTCAACTATGCGAAAAAGATGGATTTGTTATGAAACTCTATCACTCTATAACAAGGAAGATTTAAAGGACTTATATTACCTTCTGGATATGTATACCGATATGACAGATTATTTTATAGAAAATAAGTAGTGTTAGGAATTAACTATATAAGTAGGTTGTAAGAATTAATTGTATTATGTTTAAGATAAACAGTTCAAATAAAAAAAGCTATTATACTAACTGTATATTAATTATTGTATTAAATTGTGTTTTATATTTCGGTGGGCGGGAAAGGTAATTTGTGTGGGGTGATTTAGGTGTTGTTGTGCGTGGCTCATAATAAAATTATAATTTTTTTTTATTTTATATACAATATTATAATAAAATAATTAACTAAATAATTTTTAAAAATTGTCCAAATATTTTATTCAACACCAAATGTATGTTCTGTCATACTTAATACTAAAATATGAAAAAGATGAAATTAAAGGACACAGGTTTAAATGAACATATTTTTGAATGTAATTGAGATATTGGCTTGAAATTTTTTGTAAAGGGTCGAGAATTTCCATATCTAACTAAAAAATGATATTAAGGGATAAATATTGACTAAATTGTTGTAGCTATCTGCGATCCTATTAAAATTTTGATATAAATCATAGTTTTAGAAATTAAACAAATATGTAATATATGACAAAATCTTTATTTATGAACAAAACTCAATGAAATTTTCAACGCTTGTTAAATTTGTCATTTCAAATAAGAATATGCAAAAAAAAAATTGAAAAGGTCAAAGGGCATCCCGCAATTCCCAAAAATAGGAATGAAAATCCCAAAAATGGGATTTTTTACTTTTTTGCCCATAGGGTCCACATTTCTTTCAGGGCTGGGAAAATACTTTTGGAGTAAATAGAAAACATATTGAGGTTTCCAAAACTGCTTTCAGTTTTCTGATCCCAGCTTTGGGATTTTAGAACATGTCGCCCAAAGTTGAAGTTTTGATAAAAAATAGGTCATATTCGGAAGGACGCAGTGGCAACATTTTTAAAAAAATAGGACAAGTTTTTTACGCCAAAGCGTTCTGCGTAAAGGTACCTTTTAGAAAACTATAAAATTGTTATATGTTCTTAATAAAAATTTTATTTTATTAATAAAAGAGTTAAGACACATTTTTGGCAAAAAAACGCCAAAAATCTAAAATTTTTTGAATTTTTAAATTAAAAAACGTATATTTTTGGATCTGTAAACGATATTGATCTGAAATTTTTTGTATATTATTGGAAATTTTGTTGTCTAACTAACAAGAAAAAATTGAGTCCATTTGGTCCAAAATTACGCCCGGTATTCAAAAAAAGGCGGACCAAGGTATGGTAAATTTTGTATCACTAAATTTTTAAATGCCTATAACTATAGCATGTTTTTTCAAGATCTCGTCGAGCGCTTTCACAAAATATAAAAATCTTTGTATTTGGGTGAAAAACAAAAAAATGGCACGAGTTTAAAAATTTTACATGTCGTAGGTACCCTACTTTGAGCCGCCACAGCGCCGTCCCTGGGGCATCTGCAGGGTTCATCTTCAAAATTTGAACTCGAATACTCCTTGGCTACGCTCACGCCAAATTTTATCCCGATCGGATCAGCCGTTTAGAAATGCCAGATTTATTTCCAAAAAATTTCCATTCTGCCCCACTGTGGATCGCTTGACTCAAAAATAGGAAAAATTTGATTATATCGGATCATTATACAAACAAGTAAGAAAGTATAGTCGGGCGTGGCCGACCATATGATACCCTACACCAGTTATGAATATTAAATGTGATTTATTTTTCATAATAAAGCATTTATCTTCAATATTCCCTTGTTCCGATACATTTAAGCAATTTATGGATGAAAAACTAATTTTCTGAAAGAGGCTTTATATGGGGGCTAGGGGCAAATATGGACCAAGCTCGATAAAATTTTGTGAATATATTTATATTTACATAATATTTTATTGTGCTGAATTTCATCGCGATATTTGTGTTTATAAGTTAATTTGGGACATTCAAGTAATTTTCTGAAGGGGACTTTGTATGGGAGCTAGGGTCAAATGGGACCCGATCTTTATGAAATTTGGCAGGGTCATCATGACTTCTATAAAACTTAGTTTTGCCGTATTTTATCGATATATCTGTATATTTAATATAATTATGAGCTCAGAAGCCCTTTTCGGGGGGTTCTGTTCTATGGGGGCTAGGTGAAATAATGGACCGATTTTAACCATTTTCAATAAGCTTCGTCCTTGGGTCAAATAAAACGTGCGTGCCAAATTTCATCCAAATATCTTGAAAATTGCGACCTGTACCTTGCGCACAAGGTTTACATGGACAGCCAGCCAGACGGACGAACGGACGGACATAGCTTAATCGACTCAGAAAATGATTCTAAGCCGATTGGTATACTTTAAGATGGGTCTAGGACGAATATTTTTGCATGTTACAAACATCAGCACAAATCCAATATACCCTCCCCGCTAAGTGGTGTAGGGTATAACTACCATCGCAGACTGAAAATCTCTTCAACGTAAAGGATCAATATCCTTACTAGTGGTGTGTTCGAATAACAAAACTTTTCCTACTAGTCTCATTAATAACTTCCAATAAATCCTATGGCTATGGACCAAAAATAAAGAAACTAAAGAGAAAACAAAAAACTAACGCCTAAACTATAACATTTTCAAAATTTATTCTATCATGTTACACCATGAAATGTTCTTCTCAACTCATATGCAACCACAATCAAAAGAACGTCCAAAAAACATGCATACGAAATCGTATAATATTACAACACATGTGTTGTGTACAAATGTGTTGATGCAACTTATAGTTTTGTGGTCAGTGGAAATTGGCCTTTTGCTATCAGCATCTTCACAGGCATACTACTCCAAACCTCTTCTAGTTTGAATTCATTCTTTTGTTCTATTTAAGAGTGTTTGGTGGGCTGGTTGGTTGGTTGGTCTACAAAATTCATAAATAATGACGATAATGATGCTGTGTTAAAGATGGTATGTTGCCTGCAACATCATCATCATGGTTTACCACTTCGTAAGGTAGCAATTTAAAGTTGGTATTTTCATAGTAGTCTTTTAAAATATTTCAGTAAACATGTCATTTGTAGCCATTGCTGCTTGTGCTCTGGCTCGTGTATTAAATTTGAAAAGGGGCCACATTATTTAACAATTTATGTTTATTTTATTTATGTTCCACGTTGGTTGCCGTTGCTTACTCTCATCTTAAACGAAAAAAAAACTTTTCATCAACATTTTTCTTCTCTTTGTTTTTGCTGTCATTTCAGGTTCGTTACTGTCACTCGCTGACGGATGAGGAACGCAAAGAACTTCGCTTATTTTCTACACAACGCAAACGTGATGCACTTGGACGTGGCAATGTCAGACAGTTGATGAGTGCACGTCCCTGTGATGGTGTAAGTATTTTATCGATTTGTTGTAATTTCTATATTATAGTGATATTGCTTTTATGATGATGTTAAAAATTTCACTTTAACTTTGAATAAGACTGAATGTTATTTTAGAAATTTTAATGATAGTTTAATAATTTCTTTTATTTTTAATGTATTTTAGAGGAGTATTGTTGGAGTATTTAATCACACATATTTTAAATAATTATTTAATTTGTTTATGTATTAAAACATTTAAAGTTGATTTTTAAGATAAGGTACTTTAACGTTTAAAATATTCAAAAACAAATTTTTATTTTATAAACGGCTTATTAATCAAAATTTGTATAGAATTTTGTTTTATAAACCATTTATAAAATAAAAATTAGATATAGAATTTGGGGGTATGTATTTTTCCATATTTTTTTATACGTAAACACGTTTATACTTAAAACACGTTTGGTCCAAATTTCATCAAAATATCTTGAAAATTGCGACCTGTACCTTGCGCACAAGGTTTACATGGTCAGCCAGCCAGCCAGCCGGACAGGCGGACGGACGGACGGACATGGCTTAATCGACTCAGAAAGTGATTCTGAGTCGATCGCTATTCTTTAAGGTGAGTGTAGGACCAATGCGTTACAAACATCAGCACAAACGTATAATACCCTCCCCACTATGGTGGTAAGATATCATATTATGATTAAACAAAGTCTTAATATTTCATCATAATATAGTTTTATTAATCATAATGTGATGTTGTAGCATCATATTGTAGTTTCAAGTAACTATATCATGGTTTCATATAATGGTTTCAAGTAATCACGTTATTGTTTCAAGTAACCATATCTTAATTAATTTTAATTTTAGCGCATTGCTTTCATTAACGATATAATAGACAAGAATTGATGATTCCATGGGTTACATAACGGTTGGTCTGACAATCAATAATCGGTTGGTTTGATTACATACTTATTTGGACAATGATAAACATACTCGGGGCGTGTCGAAAAAGTCTTGCATCTGCTAATTTTTATAATTTGAGGACTAGACCCAATTGCCTATCTATTAATACATATAATTGAACGACCTCTTGAATTATATTATCTCCTCAGAACTAAGTCGTTTTTCTAACAAATTTCATTAGATAAATTTTGTGTCATATTCCAGATCATGAAAGATAATTGTGCCAATTGTCTATATAAAATAATAGACGATACAAACAGAGGGGACAAGAAGAACGAGTTTTTTTCAATTTAAAAAAATAATCTACTTTAGCTTAACTGTATTTGTGTGATTACAAACATTGCTTAAAAATCTCTCACGCCCACTTGATTTGTATGCAAAAATTAAATGTAAATTAATGTTTACACAGACATCGGTTTAACAACTTGAATGTAGCTCAGATGTCGGATTAAATGCAATTAGTAATTTTAAGCTAATTTCATGGGTGTAAAGTTTTTTTGTAGTTATGTAGAGGAACATGTATGTATATGTAGTGGAACATGTGTCCAGGCCACTAATTGTAAGTGGCACAACTAAAGTCTTAACTGTCACCAATTGTAGCAAGTGTTCAATGACATGTGTTATTTAGAGTTTTTTTTTTCTTATTCCGAAAACATGAACAACAGCAACACCACCTACTTGAAAAGTCGAAAAAGAAATGTTAACAAAGTTGCAAGAATTGGAATAAGAGAATGAAAGGAAGACAACGCCAGAATAAAATAGGAAAACTTCCTCAAAACATAAATAAACTAAGAAGAAAGTAAAGTCAATCAATTCCGACTATATAATACATTACACCGAATATAAGGCCCATTATTGAACAAACTTTTAAACGTTATGTAGATATGAAAGGCATTTGTGTTGGTTTATACCTCGATAATAACATTCATACTGGGTGTCTATTTAGGGATCAAATCAACATTTAAAAACTTTGAAAGTGATTTTGAGTAGATGGATTTACTATACGTTAGATGTAGGGTATAATAAACATTGAAGCAACTAATACGTGTAGATGCAACATAATAAATAAGTAGAAGCCAAACAAACTTAAACTTGACTTTCTTAACAAAAGTCGATAGCAAGAAAAAGAGGAAGAGAGATAGTTGCATAAAAAAAAAAGAAAACGGAAAGACACCTTAAGACATGACCTGGCTAACTAGAGGGTAATTGTACATATTACTTGGTAAAAATTACTTACACAAATACAAGTTAGTTTTGTTGAAATCTTTATATATCTTATGTTAAAGTGTCAAGAACATTGTGAGTCTCACTTTAAGTCCGTCCAGTTGTCTCTCTATGTAATAGTTAATGTAACTTGTAAAGTGTTTTTTGTTCAACTTTTACTGTTGACTGTGTTAGGTGAATGTTAGAAGTTTTATATAGCAAATTTCTTAAGTGTTTTATAACGTGTACTTTCTCTACTTTCTTCTTTCTCTTTAAATCTTAAGCTTTTATAATATTATAAGCATTTATTTAAATATATAAAACGAGAAAAAAAGCATGATTAAAATATTATTTTAAATTTCTCGTAATCCAATTACAGTGTGATGATTTAATTTCGACCGGTGACATTGCTGTCTTTGCAACACGTTTGGGTCCAAATGCATCTTGGCATCCTGGCTGTTTTGTTTGCTGTGTGTGTCGTGAGTTGCTCGTCGATCTCATTTACTTTCATCGTGATGGACGTTTGTATTGTGGGCGTCATCATGCAGAAACTTTAAAGCCGAGATGTTCAGCCTGTGATGAGGTAAGTTTTTATTATAACTATTCAGTAATGTTGTCAGTCAACAAAATGTTGGGAAAACAAAATGAGTATTAATAATTATGTAATTCTAAGGTCAGATAGTTGTAAATCAACAGTACATCACTTCAAAGTGATTTTAAGATTTAAGTCGTTTGTAAATTGTTAGTAACATTTTAAAGTAAAATTGTATAAAGTTGTTATTATTTTACCTACAAGTGTGAAAATCTCAAATGTCAATACGAAGTTCTTGTTTCAAAAGTTATTTCTAAAGAAGTTTTCTTTTGTTCCCAAGGAGTATTCTATAAAAGTTTGTTCACTGGCGTAAAACTAGTCACTATTGTCCATTACTTCTTATTTTTATGTTAAATATTGTCGCATTCATTTCCACAAGCCAATTAAGGGCATCTTTCGGTACATACGAGTTTTATATAAAATGGAGCTTTTCCTCTTCACCCTTAAGTGGATAAACTGAAAAGAATAGTTTACTTTTCGAGAAAACTTCAACTAACTCTTACTTTATTTAAAATTATATATTACAACCCTGCCTCTTTCCAGCCACTGTGCACAGTAGGTAATCAATAAATGCATATAGTTATTTGAAAATCTCTGCCATTCCTAAGTCAAAAACTTAATGATACAGAACTTTTAACAAAACTCCAAGTGGCTCATAAGCAGCTCCCTGCACAACACCTTTAATAGCATTAACTTTTCTTTAACAAACTCCACAACAACTATAGAAGCCGAAAGGAAAAAAGTTTATTCTTCAATACATGAAAAACTTTTCTTATTTGTCTTTACAGATTATCCTGGCAGATGAATGCACCGAAGCTGAAGGACGTGCCTGGCATATGAATCATTTCGCCTGTCATGAATGTGAAAAGCAATTGGGTGGTCAAAGGTATATAATGCGTGAGGGTAAACCCTACTGTCTGTTGTGTTTCGATGCAATGTTCGCGGAGTACTGTGATTTTTGTGGTGAGGCTATTGGTGTAGATCAAGGGCAAATGAGTCATGACGGCCAGCATTGGCATGCAACTGATGAATGTTTTTCTTGCAATACATGTCGTTGTTCACTGTTGGGACGTGCATTCTTACCCAGACGTGGAGCCATATACTGTTCGATAGCCTGTAGTAAAGGTGAGCCACCAACACCTTCTGATAGCTCGGGTACTGGCATGTATACAACGCCCACGCCACCCACTCAACGGGTAAGACCTCAAACACGCATACCCAGCAGTCATGCTTCAAGTTCACCACCAATGTCACCCTTGCAACAGCATCAACATCAGCAAAACTTCAATCAAGCCATGTATCAGTTACAAAGTCAGCAAATAGCAGCTGGCATTGGCAGCAATGCTTCCAGTGGAGGACTGGTGGGTATAGCAACGAATACGGATGGTGCTAAACAAAGTTATCCTACCTCGGATTCTGATGCAGGTGTGGTCAAGGATATGGAGCATACAGCAGGAGATTTTACAGATTTCTCGGGTGGTTTACCCTCCTCATCTTCTCAGAATATGTCACCGCTAACATCACCCGGAGAATTTAATCACTCCATGCCAAAACCCATGGAACTGAAACGTGATGGTCCGTATAACTTCAATGAAATGTCACTAAATTTGGAAAATACTTGGCCCGCAAAACCCATACTAGCAGGAGCCAACAGTTACAATTTACAACGCCAATTGCATCAAATTTCAGAAGTAGAAAATGCAAAAACCTCCAGTATGCCAGAGTTGTCACAACCAGGAAATTCCTCAACATTTCCCCAACAAAATCCAAACAATTTACAACAGCAGCAATTGCCGCAGTATGGTTCCGATTATGCTCAGCATATGCCCCACAGTATTACCTCGCCTCCACCTTCAGAGATACCAGATCTTCCAACACCAAATCTCTCCGTAGCATCTACAGCATTACCACCTGAATTAATGGGCTCTCCTACTGCCTCGGCTGGTGAGCGTTCAATACTCTCGCATCAATCTACACAATCCAATCCTGGACATCAACCTGTACATCCGGTCTCTATATTAAGTGGAGCTTCTTCCTCTTCACCCATGAGTGGTGAAACTAAGAAAAAAGGTGTACGCTTCGAAGGTATACCGTCCGATACTTTACCACGTTCACGCAGTTACTCCGGCAATGGCGCCGGCACGCAACGTAGCAGTGAAACTACAGCAGAGAAACATCGCCACGGTGGTAATGGTGGTCATTCTTCCAGACGCCGTAGACGTCGCAAATCTCATCGTTCTGGCAGTGGTCATCGTTCCAATTCCACAACCCGAGCCGACACCTATGCTACAGCTCAGCCACTTTCTTCTTCCTATCAAGGTCCACCTTCCATATTACAAACAGCTGGCTTGGATCCCACACGCCATCATCATTCTTCCCAAATAACTGTGGGAGCCAACGATGACGACTCTGACGATGCCTCTAGTGTTTGTTCAACGTGTTCGTCTAGTTCATCTAGTTCCGAAGATTATATGTATCAAATTCCTTTGCGACGTCATTATGGTGGCGTACGCGTTAGTTATGTACCCAATGACGCCTTGGCGTATGATCGTAAACGCAAGCCTTCGGATCCAAATGATAAAGATAAAAACTGTGTTATATCGTGATTTACAAGTGAGTGCGTGCACAAACTGTTGATGTACATGAATTGATATTAAAGTAAAACTAGTTGTTGGATGTTTTTGATGGCTGGTCCATTGCTCTACGCAATTCTCATCTTAAACACTATTATTAATTTATGCGGTTTGTGAATTTGAATTAAGTAAAGGTAACGGAGTGATAGCAACATAGAGGCAACATTAGATGCCACATTTTAATTAAGGGTATTTTATTTAGTTTTTGGTTTTTCTGCTTAAGTTATGCAGCAGCTAACTAATGCCTAAAAGCGTTTACAAATAACAAGTTTTGTTCTACATTCACATCTAATCCTTTCAGTATACAAATTAATAAAACACATATTCAATTCATCCAATTTAATTCGTAAAGCAAGGCTTAGGTGTGTGTTACACATTTAGAAGCAATAAAACTATTTACAAAATAATGGGGTATTGGCATCATTTAAACATTGCCTATGGCTGCAACAACTTTAAGACTTAATAGTTTCCTCATGTTGCTAGGTTCATTCTTCATTCTCTATAATTTAAAACAAAATTTATGATATAAATTAAATTTTTCCAATAAATACTCTAAAAACTTAAGTCTAAATGAAAAACTATTAAAACACCAAATTTACAATTTATGAAATTTTTAGTTATTTAAGTTCTTTTACTAAAACTAATTCTATAAAGAAAACTAAACTATCATAAATATAATAAAAAAAATTAATATAAATTATTATTTCAAAGGACTATAGTTTCTATACCCAAATAGTTACTTAAATGCATAAAATACTATAATTTATTTATAAAACTTAGATTTAAATTAAACGAATAGAGAAAAAAACAAAGCAAATACAAAGTAAAAAGTACAATTCAGTAATTCTTCTATATATACATACATATAGTACATACAAAATAGGCTTAAGGACTTCAAATAGGACACACATCAAAACATTTTAAAATCATAAAATATTTATAAACACACACACACACACAAACAAACTCTCATACATATTCAGTAAAGGAAAAAGCAAAGCAATAATTTTTAAATTAAATAATTAAATCTAAGTATTTTAGGAGGAAAAATAATAAATCCCATTCATATTAGTTTTGTCTTTATTTTTCAATTTATATTTAATAATTTATTTATGAACATTTGTTTGTTTGTACAATTAATTGAAAATTATTCATAATTTATTCAAACACATGATAATAATTTAAACTATTCAAAAGCATATAATTTTTAATTTAATGTAAGAAAAATATAAAACTCTATTCTATATTGTAAATTGAATAAAATTATAAAAAGTCTTCAAAAAATATTTACGAAAAACTCCATGCATATTTTTAAACCAAGTTTACTGTAATTTATTATTAAAAATAATATTTATAAAATATAGAATTCAAATTCTAAATAAAACTAAATAATTTAACAAAAAAAAAATTGGTCAATTTTATTACATTTCATTTGAAACAGATAGGAGTGCACTATGGGGTACAAACGAAGTTTTAAATATATTTGCCAATATTTAATTAAGTTTTTTTAAGAAATATTTATTTTTACATTTGTGTAAAAAACATTCCAGATAACATGATAAAGTAACTTCTTATTGGAGCATTGAGTAAGAGAATAAACTAATAAACATGGAAAATAACTGTACAACCGGGTTTAAGTCCGCAAAAGTCGGGTAAGTACCAGTCATTTTTTGATCATCGTCGAACAAAAATAAGTAGTTATTCACCCACTTACACTTTGCTCCAATATTACTTGCCTACATACCGGGTAAATAAAAATTTTGCTGGGAATTATCTAAGTCTTGTCCGTTCGTCCGAAACCTAATACGAACCGTATTGAATTTGGTTGAAATCGGCATTATTATTTCACATAACCGTTACATAACCAGACTACCCGAAAAATCTGCACCAATAACTTCTATATTAATGCAAATTGCATTGCCGATTTTTTACTTGCAATTTGCATTGGTATCGAATAACATCCCAGCAGTTCGGTCGGACAGACTCGAACTACCTATTTAACCTACCACTTAGGGTTAACCCTTGCCAACGACAGCCCAGGTGACTATCTATTTTATCATGTGCTTGTCCTTCGAGAAATCAATCGTCACCTCAGAGATTGCGAAGAGACAGACTAAAAGCTTACAAACGGGGCACTAAAGTGACGATTATCTTCATCCTCGTTTACAAAGATTACATCCATGACGAAAGACGGATCCAAATTACCTATGTAAAACCACCGAGGACTCCCTAAACATGATATTAGGCTGGACTTAAACAAGACAATGGAACGTTAACCCGGTAAAGACTGTAATGTATCCTAACACAGAAAAGACGAAAACTCCTGAATACATCGAATCCAAGAAGATATTAGCTACCGTCTATTTTAACTACTTTGGTGTAATCCTTAATCAGAAATTAATATGGAGACATTACATATGTAAATGATAAGGCCAACAAGCCACGTCGTTGCTGGGCGCTATGTAGGAGACTATAGACATGAAATAAGATCTTATCTTTTATAAAAACGTTATTCGACTAATTCTAACTTTCGCAACAATAATCTGTTAGACTTCTTTTGTCTAAAATGCCATAATTTTACTTCAGTCATTCTACGTACATGTTGCTTGGAGCTACGTTGACCAAAGGGACCGAACGAATCAGTTACCTTCGGTACAGGTTTCCTGTGAAGAGTTATAGGACTTTCATTTATCATCATCTTCCAGGCTTCAATTCGCATGGTAACCGATTTCGCTCCAGACCTTTGAAATTGTTCCTTAAATAGCTCCCAATTAAGAGTTCTTGTGGAGTTGGACAAAAATCTTTATGAATTTTTGCCTGTAGATCTTGGTCTTCAAACTATTTTGGCTAGCCTGGGCGATCTTCGCTTTTTAAACGCCATTTAAAGTGAAATATTTGTTCATTCCCTTAGAAGGATAATTGCTATCGTGAACTTGCAGCGAAAATTTTTTTCACAATACATAGTTGATTTTATTAGCAACAGCTGTTCATTGCTTAAAAAATTCCATTAAACATTTTCACAACAGGAGGAATTTTTTCAACTCAAAAAAACTAAATAAACGGAAAAAGTGAAAAAGATCATATTTCAAGTGAAATTTTGTTTGGCGTTATGGGTGAATATCAACACTTCTGAGCCTCACAAATCATTTCTCGCACGTTGAAACCAATGGAACCTATTCAACATAAGCTTCGGTGAGCGTTATTATATTAAATAAGCCCCTTAAACATTTTTTATTCATAATTAATTTTTAAATTTTAATCGAAACAAATTTAAAATTTAGAAAATTTAATAATAGCATACTGATTAAAATATGTGCTTTTGCCAACCAGCCCTTAATTGAATCATTACACTCAATTTGCAACATTTGTTGCCAGAACTTGGACGCTTTTTCTTTTTGTAACAAAATATTTTTCTTCCAGTTCTAATACCAAATGAAAATGTCGTCTGTACGAACTACAAGAACCACAAAATAACTAAGATGTCATAAATTCATAATAATATACGACCCCAATTGTAAATGACCATAAAGCGATAGTGAAGCAACCAACAACTTGCACTAACGGACGACACAATGCAATAAATAAACTCGTTCTACGGATATAAAAACAAGAAGAAGAAAATAAATAAATTTTTGGTTGGACAAAGACTATGATTACGACCACGAAAATCAAACGAATAAATGAACAAACATATATACATATGTACATGTGTGTGTATAATACATATGTATATGTATATGAACCAAAAAATACATTGACTCTCATAGGAATGTTGCTAGACTAGCAAAAGAAATCCTTCTAAAACGAATATTGAATTTATGTGTGTATATTATAGTATGCTTAAGCATTCCTGTGACAATGTCCTGTTTATATTACACACATTCATTAGTAATAGTATGAGTATGTAAGTGGACTTATAGCTTTATGTGAACAAATAATCGTTATATATACTTTTACTAACAATACTACAACACTATTACTATCAGCAAATACTATTTACTGCCGACTACAATCTACTGTCCCCACATACGTATAACTATACTAAAGTTGCAATGGCCCAAAACAAAGGCAGCCGAAAAAAGTGAAATGAAATTACTTTTACGATTATTTGAGGTTTAGCAAGCTCTTATTGTGGCTGCCCATTGCTGGTTTGTTTCATTATCATTATAAGCCTTTTGGAATATTAACCACACACACATACCCACCAATGTATCATACACACCCGTAATAATATCTCTATATACCTACACACGTTAGATATCTACTATTCATATTTACACATTTGAAGCAATCTACTAGCAACATTAAATTTCATAGAATTAAGTGAAAGAAATAGTATATTTAATTAGATTTTGCCTATTCGTCCATTAGAACGAGTAAAATGCATTTGCAACATACACAATAATAATCATCGTTACATAGTCAAACTGAGTAAAAACATTAAATAAACTATTTAAAGATGCTTTATATGCTGACCATGTTATTGGTTAAAATACTTAAACTAAATAAATATTAGTGTACATGGACTATGTCATGTCCTGGGTATATGTTTAGTATCTAAAGGATTTTATCGAGAGTGCCAATGTTTTTACCACCACTACCTACAAACTAATAAATAAGAGTAATAAAGTTAAATATACACAGAAAAAAACGTATTTATGGTGTTTTTCTTCATTATGATATAGAAGTTATTAAATATATTTATGCGAGCATGTTTTCTTAAGGTGGCGTTTAACCAAAAGCAGAGTATTGAATGTATCTTTTTTGTTTAAATTTAATTTTTTTTTAAAGTCTTAACTATGTTTTCGGGAATATCAAGAGGATGAGTTTAGAACCAATCTAAATTTATAATTGTCCAATTTTTTATTCAAAAATATTCCGTCAAGTCATATATGAGGTGTAGATCTCATTAGATCAAAGATCTCAAGGCAGTAATCTCCATTTTTCATGTTGTCGAGGAATCACATTATTTCTAATATATTTATAGGAATTTATGGATACTTATTGTTTAGGAACTAGAGTTTGGGGTTCGGGAAATCCCGTCCGGGAATTCTCGGGAAAAGTTTGTCGGGATTTCCCGGGAATTTTTTTTAATCATTCCCGGGAAAACGGGAATGATTATTCCACAAAATAACGGAATAATTGATCTTTTCTTATATTTAATTACTTCTAAGAAGTATGAATGAATATTATTAATTTATGCCTATATGAAGTATATGATCTGTTTAGTCCTACGGTATGCAAACTATCTCACCAAGGTTGTCTATGAAGTAACTGCCAAAAAACAGTTTCTCTTAGCGGCTAGAGCAGGGCATTGACAGAGAAGATGGAAGACAGTTTCTTCCTTTTCCCTGCAACTGCGACAGTACTCATTGCAGGGTAACCCAAGCCGACTTGCATATCTGCCTAGCACTCAGTGTCTTGTTAATACTGCTATCAACCGCGTATTTCTGATTATAATGTGTCTTTTGCCTTTCTTATTGACAAAAGGACAAAATTCCTTCCATCTACCTTCAGCATTCTGAAGAAAGAATGTGAAGATACTGCTCTTTATAATACCTAACGGAATTACTACTGAAACGGCGTTGGAAATATCAAGCGCTGATCCCGTTCTAGCAAACTCATCTGCCTGTTTATTTCCATAAAAGCCCCTATGCACAGGGATCCAAACAAAGACCAGGACAGATCATTATTGCATTGTTTAAATAATAGGAAAGTAGTAGTATAAGAGTTTAGTGGAAGAATATTTCTATGTTGCCGCGAATATTGAGATCATGTAGTACCCTACAGGCTTGATTTA